TATTTGAGAGAGAGAGACTGAGAGAGAGAGAGCATGAGATGGGGGAGGGTCGGGAGGGTCAGAGGGAGAAGCAGACCCCCCGCCGAGCAGGGAGCCTGATGTGGGACTCGATCCAGGGACTCCAGGATCATGACCTGAGCCGAAGGCAGTCGCTTAACCAACTGAGCCACCCAGGCGCCCCTACTTAAAGCATTTTAATGACTTTTCACATGATATCATAATACAAAGGTTAATACTGTGCTTTTATGTTTTATGTGTCTCACATTCAGGGTTTTGAAGGATAGCATTTAAAATTTTGAAATGAACTTGAATTGGTCTTGATACTGCATGAGGGGAAACTCATAATGCGGATCAACTTACGCTTTCCAGAGCATTCATTAAGAAAAGAGAGTATTGATTAGCATCCTCTATTCAGTGATATAATGCTGCATTAACATTAACTGCATTTGTGCTGATGTAGATTCAATTAGTAACCATTTTACTTTTTATACAACATAGAGAGACAGGGACAGAATAACAAGTTTCTTTTACTCCTACTTCTGGAAGCTTTTCACTTAATATGGTTGTTGCCAAAAACAAAAACAAAAACAAAACCACAACTATTCCACTCTTGAATAATATTCAGTATTCCAAGAAATTCATTGACCTAGCACCAAGAGGACATTTTTAACGTGAAGGAAGACTGATAACCCAGGCTAACAGGTGAACTCATAGAACACAGAGTAGACTGTAAGGTATAATCTACCTACAAATGAAAAAAAAAAAAAAAAAGGCAGCAGAGTAGAAATAGGGAAGAAGGGAAGATGAGTAGCAGGAGAGGGTGACTGAACCCCGCCCCCCATTCGCTGTGACCGCAAACCCCGCAGGACAAGCGAGGTGGGTGTGTTGTGCGGAGAGAGGGTCACAGGTCCCGTGACCCTGTATTTCTGGGCAGGGGAGTTGGGCCCCTGGGTGCCCCCATGCTCTGCAGATGCACAAGCATGCAGCTCCTACTTCTGCGGAGTTCTGCTCATTCCCAGGAGCAAAGGGGGTGCTAAAGGAGTGGGTGGGGTGTCTCAGGGGCCCGACTCCCTCCTGATCGCCTCTGGAGGACCCCAGGCAGCTGTGTCAGCCTTCTGGTCTGCTGGGTGGGACTGATGAACACTTGTTACTATGATAGAAAAAAAAAGGTGGCTCATGTTTGTGCTTTAAGCATTCTTATTTGAAATATCTTTGGGATGTTTGAACGGTAAGCAGACAATTATGAACTGTACATAGATGTGTGTTTTCTTCTGTGATGTTTTACCTCTGCATCCAATCCTATGGAGTGATTTTACAATTCTCAGCACGACAGCATAATCAACTGCACTCTTCCTGGCAAAAGATTTCTCCCCAGTGTTAGAAATGTGCTCAGGTATTTCCTTTTTCTCTATTATTTCAATAGTGCTTTAGAATCATGGACTCTACTCTCTAAGCTGGAATGAGCTTTAAGGACGATCTAATATCTTCATTTTGTAAATGAGTAAGCTGTGATCCAGAGGAGTTAAGTGCCTTGCTAAGGGACACACATGATATTATATAATAGTACTGTCCCAACTGGAGGAAAGCCGATCATTAGTTGAAATCACTGTACTCTCTTGGCAGAATATAAATGAACCTCAAATCACAACTTGCTTTTTTTTTTTAAGATTTTATTTATTTCTATGATGGAGAGATAGAGCCAGAGAGCACAAATGGGGGGAATGGCAGGGGGAGAGGGAGAAGCAGACTCCCTCCTGAGCAGGGAGCCTAATGCGGGGTTCGACCCCAGGATCCTGGGATCATGACCTGAGCCAAAGGCAGAGGCTTAACAGACTGAGTCACACAGGCGCCCTTCATAACTTGCTTTCTTAATAGAGAAACTGCTGAGGTACCACTGATAATTGGCTCACAGAATAGTCTTATTTTATTTTTTAAATGACTCAAAGACCTTTAACTTAACTTCCTCCAGATGTGTAATTTGGTATTACTAATCCTAAAGACATAGTTATTACAATAAGTATCATTCCAGGAAAGAAATGAGTCTTATAAGCAATGATTCCAAAGACAACTACAAGTACCCATAACACTGGGCACACTATTTTCAGATAATTATCACCTCTGACTCTGAGCGCCATGATAGAACTTGCTACAAGCTGGTAAAATTTTGGTTTTACCAACAAAAGTTTGGTGGTTAACAGCTATTTTCCAACTTTTATGTAAGACTGAAATAAACTATATCATTCCTCATTAGAGACCTCTTACTTAACATGAAAGAGATGTAGACGTTCTTATAGAACACTGGAAAAAGAAGAAAAGCCTGTTAGTCAGTGATGGGAGGTCCAACATTTCTTTATAGGAAAATCACTCTGCATAAAAATGCAGAAGTCCTTTCAACTGTATTACCCTTAAGTTTTAAACTGCTCTTGTGCTTTAACAGATACACATGCACTGTCTGCATTGTACTAGCTCTAGAATAGAAGTTTGATTTACCATTAAATGTCGTATCAGTAAGGATTTAAAACATAATTAAATATAACAGTATAATTTTTACCTTATGTCATATTAAACAGAAATTACATAGTATAGTTCCCTCAGATTTACAGTAAAATGCAAAGGCATATATTGAAGGAGGAGAGACACATATACTGTCCCCAATTGCAGATGGACTTTTTCTGTAATTCTAAATATTGTATGGGAACCCCAAAGCCCTTTGGGAAAAAAAACCATGAATCACTCTCCAGCTTTGCTGCCTCTAAAACAAAAACCAGTTGCGTTGCATATGATTTGAGAATCTGCAGCTGAATTTTCACACGGAATAATCTTAACTTAGAAAATAGTATTTTTAAGATTTTAGATAGCCATCGCAGGAGGGAATGTTACCGTGATAAAAAAAAAAAAATACTTTACTTCTTGGCAGATGAATGCAAACACCTCTGTGCTATTGCAACAAACCCACATTAAACCCTGATCATTGGCAAATAACATACCCAGGCGCTCACGCATCTGCCGCAAGTGGTGATTTTGAAATCCCCATAGAGATCTTTGATGGCACCAGTCGTGAAGAAACCTTCCACCATCAGCAGAATGCCATAAACAAAGAAGGCAGCCGCGATGCCGTAGATCACATACTTGAAGATGTCAATCCTGGGGGAGAAGAGACAAAGGGCTTTACTTTAATAACTCTTCATGCCTGACTGGCAGCAATCGATTCTCACGTGCTCATGGCTCCTTCAGAATGGAGAGCCACAGAATATTTCTGTCCATAAGGGAGGCTGGATTTAAAAACATTTTTGCTTTAGAGGCCTAATGTTTGTATATATTTTTTGTTCAGCCTCTGCTAGTATTTGTTGACAGGGCTTTTGACCTTTGTTTTCCCCTCTTTTCTTCCTGCCTCCCCTTCCCTTGTTCACGCCAAGGTAGTCTTGGGCAAGCACTGAGTCACATTGTGAAAGAGTCTGCTGAAATTCATTTACTAAGTATGATAATCATCATATAATTTCTCCTATTATGACAAAGTACCAAGTGTAAAGATTTATATATCTACTACCGAGTTTTGAAAACAAAAGAGGAAGAAAGCATCATGGTTAATGATGAATCCATTTTCAATTAAATGACCACCTCATATTTTTCTTATTATAGCCAATTATAATTATGTTTTATTCCACACTTACTGTAAACAGTCACTGATATTTTCTGCTGATAACAATGTCAATAATGGAAAAAACTATGTTTTTAAAGAAAAGTTATAGTTTTGAAAAATCAAGCCTTTGAGGCAGAATCACTAATAGATTCAGAATTTGGATACGGAACCGGGCCTGAGCCCAGTTTGGGCATAATACCATAGAGGAATGGGAGGGCATTCTTTCCTTTCTCATGATTCAGTGCCCATGTATTTAAAGGCAGAGGGCAGGGAGAGACACATGTATCGTCTATAAATTGCAGACAGATGTTTCTGTTATTCTAGATACTAAATGAGAATCCCAAAGCCCTTTGGAACGAAAAACCGTAAGTTAACAATTTTGCTACTTCTAGAAACAAAGCTACTTGTGCAGCCATGGTATGTGGAGAGGGATATATGTTAGCTAACGTTCTGTTTTCACACTCTTGATATCCATTTGTAAGAAAATTGCTCTATATTTCTCACTGTCAAGTTTATTTTTTTTCTCTTTCCTCTGATTATTAGAGTATGAATGGAGTAGATAGGGTGGAGGCCAATGATGGAGATAGCCTGTTGACTGTTTATAAGGGGACAAATGAGGGATTAGAAAGCTTGATCATGCTGATAGAGATTTAGAAACTCTTGATGTTATGACAATATTTTTAAAAGAATACATGCAATAGCATAAGTGAGTTTGTTACATATAAAAAGAATAAGAAGAGCCTGCTAACTTTCACTGTACCAGGGCAATTGTTTAGTGACTGATTTTCACTGTCTGAAAATCTAAATATTGCACAATTTTACTTGTCAAGGGCAATGAGGCAGATGATGTGAACTTGCAAGCTTATTATGCATGTGAAAGAATCTGAGGATTTCAACTTACAGATGGGACTTTGAAGAATTTGATTCAATGGGCTTCTCCATAAAACTTTTAGGTTAAAATGACATGTTTTAAAATATACTTAAATTTTTATTCAGAAATAATTTCAAATTTATAAAAGAAGTTGTGGAAAATGAACAGTATGAAGATAAACTATACATCCTTTATCTATTTTATAATATTTTACCTCATTTATTGTTTTCTTGTGTTTCTCTCTGTCTCTGGAGAATTACATCTGAACATAGAAAAATTCTCCACAGTATACTTATTGACTTCAGGGAATCCAACATTGATATAATACTTGTGTCAAATCTCTTACTGTATTCCAGTTTTACCAACTGGACTGACCCAATGATGAACTCCCTGGCATCTTCTTTCCCAATAAGGGATCCAGTCTAGGGGTAAGTACTGCATTCACTGGCCACCTGTCTTTACTTTCTTTTAACCAGGAACACATCCACAGCCTCTTTGTCTTTATGACATTAATTGACGCTGTTGAGGAGTATAATCCCACTCTGTCCTTATTAGATAACATTCTTCATTTTGAGTTTGTCTGATGTTTCCTCCTGATTAGATTCAGATTACTCATTCATGGCTGGAATACAATAAAGGTGACTTTCTGTGCATCTGCCCCTCAGTAGTGATGCTGATTTGGATCATCTAGACAAGATGATGTCTAATTTCTGTACTGTGCAATTGCTATTGTTTCCTTTGTAGCTAGTAAGTCATCTGTGAAGAGACAAACATCCTGTTCTACATTAAAACTTCCTGCCAGTGTTAGCAGTCATTGATGGATCTTGACTAATCCAATCTTCCTATTGCATTAACAAAATGCTCATTTTCTAACTGTAGTACTCATTCACATTTACCAGTTGGTACTAGATATTCTGATGTAAGCAAGAGCCCTCCTTTTCCCCCTTTTTATTAATTTTTTGTTTATTTGTCTATTTATTAATTATATGGCCTAAGGATGTCTGCTTTTTTCTCTGAAGTTTATAAGCCAACTACTCTACTTAATTATTTTGGTGCTTAAATTATTCTAGACTTGGCCAGTGGGCATTCCCAAAGCCGACTCCTATATCCTTGTGACATGTGCCCATCATTTTTTGTAAAATATTCCTTTCTTTCTCACACAGCAAGAGGACCGAGGCTCTCTTTGTACATACCTCCCTCAACCCCCAAATTAGGCATCTCTTTGCCAAGCCCTGGTTCTTTTTTTTAATGTGTCTATATTTATTTTTTAATTTAAATTCAATTAATTAACATATAATGTATTATTCGTTTCAGGGGTACAGGTCTGTGATTCATTAGTCTTATACCCAGTGCTCATTACAACACATACCCTCCCCAATGTCCATCACCCAGCCACCCCATCCCTTTACCCCACGTCCCCTCCAGCAACCCTCAATTTGTTTCCTATGATTAAAAGTCTCTTATGGTTTGTCTCCCTCTCTGGTTTCATCTTGTTTCATTTTTTCCTCTCTTCCCTTATGATCCTCTGTTTTGTTTCTTAAATTCCACATATCAGTGAGATCATATGATAATTGTCTTTCTCTGATTGACTTATTTCGCTCAGCATAATACCCTCTAGTTCCATCCACGTCGTTGCAAATGGCAAGACCTCATTCCTTTTGATGGCTGCGTAATATTCCATTGTATATATATACACCACCTCTTCTTTATCCATTCATCTGTCGATGGACATCTGAAGCCCTGGTTCTTTTCATGAGCAGTAGTATTGGAGACCAAGACGTGGGTACTCATTGCTGCTGTGGTGTCTTTGCCTCTTGGTCTTTTCAGCGTACCAAGTTAGGAAACACATGCATGTACACACACACATTCATATATACAATGACGTAAACACGTACATTCAAGTATCTATGTATGTGAACTTGACATACATATACTGGCACACATATATTTGCATATCAGACACACACGTATTTTAGAAACCTCGAGTTCATAGTGATATTTCCAAATCTAATTGATTCCCACGGGGTTTTTTGCAGTCTTCCCCTACTCTGTATTTGTGTGACCTTCTTCCTTAGTGAGAATCCTAATTCCCAAGAATAACACATACATTCTTTTGTTTGATTCATAATAAATCTAAAATTATTTCAGTATTATTTCATCGAAAGTATTACAAAAATCAAACCTACTTGAAAAGAATTCAGAATGTTTGCAATTCCCCTAACCCTCCACCCAAGACTAAGAGAATATAGTCAAATACTGAGTTTCTAAGTTACTTGGATTGGTTCATTCTTTTTTCTTCCCTTCATTGTGCTTAAGGCATTCATTTGGAATGCAGTGGGGATCTATTTGTTTCAGTTTTAGGTCCTCTATCCCATCAATATTGACTTAATTTCATTTTTGAACATATAGAATATCATTAACATGCTTCCAAGAGTCAAATCTGTATAAAAAGATACCCCCAGAGAAGGGTCATGACCTCCCCTATCCCTTCCGACCTATTCCTTGTTCACTGCTCCCTTGCTATCCTTCCTGTGTTTTTTTATGTAAAGGCAAGCATGAGTATATGTGTGTGTACATACTCCTGTTTTCCTTTTGCTTTTACATAGAAGGTAGCTTATACACATGCTCTTTTGCACTTAGCTTTTATTGATCAATAACATCCTTAAAATCACTCCATATCAGTTCAGAGATCTTCCTCATTTTTTTCAACAGCTGCATGGTAGTCCTAGTGTATATATGTATTTATTTACCCCATATTCTGTGCTTGAATATTTAGATAGATAATCAGTATTTTGCAATTACAAATAATACTACAATGAATAATCTTGCACAAATGTATTAGAACAATTGATAGTGTATATTTAGGGTAGGAGGACTGATGAGTTGAAAAGCGAAAGCACGTAGCTTTCTGTTAGAAACCGCCAAATTCCTCTCTGTAAGGGTTGTACCATTTCTGCATCCCCAACAAGGATGTATGAGACTCTTTGTCTACAGCCCCAACAAAAGACTATATTGTCAAGCTTCTGAATGATTGCTAACTGATGGGTGATAACTGGTATCGTAGTTTTGCTGTATTTATCTTAGTAAGAGTGAAATGGAACATCTTTTTATATAATCATAAGCAACATTTGTCTTTTCGTGAATTGTCATATCTTTTGCCCACTTATCTATAAGGTTTGTATATTGGGAATATTTGGTTTTTACCTATAACACATGTTGCTAATATTTTCTCCTAGTATGCCATCTGTCTTTTGACTTTGCTTATGGCATTTTGCCTGACACTTAAAGAAACAGAAACTTCGATGTTGTCTAAGTTATCTGTCTTCTCTTTTGTTACACCGGGATTTTAGTCATAGTTATAAGCCTTTATTAATAATCAGGTTAGGGCGCCTGGGTGGCTCAGTTGGTTAAGCAACTGCCTTCGGCTCAGGTCATGATCCTGGAGTCCCGGGATCGAGTCCCGCATCGGGCTCCCTGCTCGGCAGGGAGTCTGCTTCTCCCTCTGATCCTCCCCCTCTCGTGCTCTCTGTCTCCCATTCTCTCTCAGATAAATAAATAAAAAATCTTTAAAAAAAAATAATCAGGTTATACAGGAATTATGTTTTCTTCTAGCATGTGTATCATACCATTTTA